TGCGTGTTTATCTAACGTCCATTGTCAGCATTATTGTCAGTCGAGACTTCATCGGAGAAACATGGTCATACAGTACTCATTTCTATGGAAAGCCGTAGGGGACCCCCGATAAATATTTTTATTCAATTGAAAGGACACATATAAGGCAAAACTAACGGCAGTCACTATGGAAAGCCGTAGGGGACCCCCGATAAATATTTTTATTCAATTGAAAGGACACATATAAGGCAAAACTAACGGCAGTCACCATTTGTCGAGAAAACTTCGTTTTTTTCAACATCCGATAAAAATTAATTTGTTCCCGGTAGCAGAAAATAAAAGCCGGAATTTCTTTTTCGGAGAAAGATCCATCGCCGAGAATATTATTTCACTAATGTATGGAAAGCCGTAGGGGACCCCCGATAAATATTTTTATTCAATTGAAAGGACACATATAAGGCAAAACTAACGGCAGTCACCATTTGTCGAGAAAACTTCGTTTTTTTCAACATCCGATAAAAATTAATTTGTTCCCGATAGCAGAAAATAAAAGCCGGAATTTCTTTTTCGGAGAAAGATCCATCGCCGAGAATATTATTTCACTAATGTGATTGTGACGAGATTTTATTTTTGTATGCCGAGATTTTACTATTCCGTATCGGCCGAGCCGAGTTTATTTTCAAACAAATTCCGAGCTGGTTTTCTTGACCGTATATAAACGTATTCATTCTGACCAATTGCCGAGATTTTATTTTTCAGCCATGCCGAAAAAAATATGCTAGCACGCTGTTGACGGCAACGCGCAGTCACACTGATCATAAGCCGAGAAGTTTTTTTTTGTCGTGCCGAGAAATTTTATTTTGCCGAGATTTTTTCCCCTAACGCATGCGCAATACAGCTGCGCGGGAGAACGCATGCGTCGTATTTATTATAGCGCGCGAGATCTAGAGTAGCAGAGAAGTCCAGGCCGTCTTTGATAAAAAAAATACTTCTTTTTGTGACGAATACCGTGATATCGACTAGTGACTGAATTTGTTGACGAGTATCACTGGAGTTGACCTATACAACTCGTGATCGAACAATTTTGCTAATGATAAATCGTCATTTTGTTCAACCGTTGCTGTATACTATTGTCCAATAACACAGGCTACACTAATTCAATGAGGTCTTCAATTAATGGACTGCATTTGGCTGATTTATAACAGGTTGCTCATTTATAACAACTTTTTTTGATTAGCTGCTGTTTCGTTTCTCAACTCAAAACAAACCAATCAAAGCTGGCATAACTTCACGATTGATATTTGAAGCTTGTTTCCACCAAAATGCTCATTACTATGCAATTTCGACTGAGTCTGATAGTTACCTCACCGAGGCAAGTAATTTAAACGATGATAATTATTTTTATTATTACTGTTTGTTTAATATGTACTAATCTACCTGTGTGTAATTGTTAAGATAAGGTTCAGGGATGGATAACAAGAGACGAACTGGTGTACACTATAACAGATGACTTTATTGAAACTCCTACCGTGATGTGTCAAAGCACCCACTTATATACACAAGTTTACATTCCTTGCATTTTGGCGGAAAGTGACTTTGGCCTTGTACATGATTGGGTAATAGGGAAACGAGCTGATAGGTAAATAACTATTAATGAGGTTGTTTTATTGGCTAAAATTAACGTACTATGATTGGCTAAATTATTTGTAAGCAGAATCCTAAATCGACATCAAGTTCGGCTAGTTATATTTCCGATATTTCTCCGGGCCGCGAAATAAAAGATAGTCATGTAAACGAGAATGAACAAAAGTTGAACAAAGTAAACGATAATTTGAAGTAAAATACGAAAGTAAATATATGCGAAGATAAAATACAATTCAGGATAGATATCGATTAAATGCGAGTAAATAGAAAAGTTCGAAAATTCGTAAAATCTACACAGTCACAAACTGTCACAATAAGCTAAGTATAAAATGTTCGGTATATTCAGTTCATAGTTCATATGTCATTTATGTCCTGTATGCGTAGTCGGGCAATCGCAGCAGCGGTTCTAGCTGGTGTACGGCGTGTAATTTCCGGTTCCAGTGGTACGCGTTGAGCAGCAGACGTATCTTGAAATTGATCAGTGAGTGTGTCTTCAGTTTTTCTACACACTTCCAACGGATACAGTTTCGTGATTGGTCTGGTTGTATGTCCGTTAGTCGTTTTAATTTTGGCTGAGCGCACAAGTCCGTCGTTACCGTAATTCAAACTCTGCACTGTAGCTAGATGCCATTTGAAACGACGTTCATTGTCGCTATGTACTTGCACAACATCACCGACTTTAATAGCGCTGTCTGTTGAGCCATCAAGGTTGTGTCTTTCGCGTAGTGAGGGTAAATATTCAGTTACCCAGCGACGTCAAAAATGTTCTAGTAATTTAGAGAGATGGGCGTGGCGTTTCTCAATGTCCATTTGGTTTCCGAAGGTCGGGTCTCCAAATTCATCGTCGTCAATAATCCGATAGGGTACACACGTCAGCGAGCGGCCGTGTAGTAGATGTGACGGTGTAAGTGGCGTAGGGTCTTCTTTATCAGAAGATACGTATGTTAATGGTCGCTCGTTGAGGACGGACTCGATTTCGACGAGGATGGTGTTGAGTTCATCGTAGGTCACGAATGATCGACCTAGTACTTTCTTAATCGCTGTTTTCGTTAATCCAATTAACCGTTCCCAGAAGCCCCCGAACCACGGTGCGCGTTTTGGGATGAAGCGCCATTGTATTCGATTATTGGCTAGATAAGTTTTCACTTCCGGTGAATAAAATAATTTCCTGATTTCATTCGAGGCGGAGAGGTAGGTAGATGCATTGTCGGATATCATGATAGAAGGAATCGATCTCCGTGCAGCAAATCTGCAAAAGGCATACAGAAAGGATTTCGTTGACAAATTGGGGACAAGTTCGAGGTGAATAGCTCGAGTGACTGCGCACGTGAATAAACACACATAAGCTTTAGTTTCTTTAGTGTTCTGTGATGATCTCACGTAAAGTGCGCCAGTAAAATCCACCCCGGTTACTGTGAATGGCGGCGTACTGTTCACTCTGCAAGATTGCAGTGGTGCGGAAACAGGAGGCCGATAATGAGATCCAGATACCTTGATACAAGTAACACATTTGCGAAGTAATGCTTTCACCACTTGTCGAATTCTAGCAATCCAGAATCTTTGTCGAATGTGGGTGATGGTTGCTTGGAGACCGGAATGCAGCACCTGCGCGTGCGCGTTAGTGATCACGAGTTCGGTGAACCGATGGCCAGTTGGTAACAGAACTGGGAATTTCGTGATAAAATCTAGTGGGGCGTTGTGTAACCTCCCACCACATCGCAATATACTTTCGTCATCAACAAACAGTTTGAGTTGTTTTGTTAAGTGTCCGAGTTTTCCATGTTTTCTTTGTATTGAACGTATTTCGGCCTGAAATTGTTCGCGTTGAATATCTCGAACCCACATGCGTTCTGCTTGCTGAATTTCGTGTGCGGTGAGGGGGTCGATATTTCGTTCTTTGTCTCTTTTCATATTGGAGATGAACCGAAGTACATACGCAGAAATTCTTAGTAGTTTATTGAGTGAACTGACATTGTCGGCGTTGATAATATATTGTATTCCTGTCGGTGGTATTTCACCAAGTTCGACAGTGGGGTTTTTAGCATTGGAGAATTGTTCAGACTCACCGTGAACTTGTGTAATGTCCGTTATCGGCGCAATAGGTTCAATGTCAGTGATTGGAACGTGGTTTACGGCGCTGTCAAATAGCTCACAAACAGGCCAGTCGCCTTTCTTCAGCCATGGTGGTCCCGACCACCACAAGTTCGAATGTTCCGCGAAGTGGCGAGCCGTAACCCCTCTTGTCACCAAATCTGCGGGATTATCGCGTGTAGGACAGTACTTGACGGTACACGGAACGGAATTAATATCTCTGACGCGATTTGTGACGAAGACAGGAAGTTTCTTGTTGCTTTGTAGCCAATGTATGACAATTTGGCTGTCTGACCATAACACTGAATTTGTGATATCTACCGTGTCCTTCAATGCATCCGATACGAATCGAAGTAGTCTGATACCGGGGCAGGGTGATTTCCGGTTTCAGAGGCGCGACTCTGCTTTTCGCCATGACTAAAGACGTTTCGTTATTGTGTCGCAGATAAACGGCGGCCCCATAAGCTTTGTTGCTAGCATCTCCGAAAACGTGTAACTCACACTCTTTAATTTTAGAGTCCGAATTAAAGTACCGGCGTTTGAATTTAGTGTTGGCGGCTTCCATTATGTCATTTGATATTTCCTCCCACTTCTGTGTCATGTCATCACTAAGTTTATCATCCCAGCCGAGTTTCTGTTTCCATAGTAGCTGAATGAGTAACTTAGCCTTGATGTGTATGGGAGACAAATATCCAAGAGGGTCGTACAAACTTGCAGTATCTTGTACGATTGTCCGTTTAGTTACTGGGTTGTCATAGAGACGGTCGTTGACCCTTGTAGGGTAGCACAGTTCATCAGAATCAACTTTCCAGCGAATGCCCAACACATTGACATTCGTGTCGCGATTTAGCGTGTTAGCTTTGTCAGCGAGGGTGCAAACTTCATGGGAATTTGAAGACCATGCGCGTAAATTAAAACCGCACGATTTCATCAAAGTATTAGCCTCGTTATAGTAGGTGACGGCTTCGGCATTGTTATCAACACCACTTACAACATTGTCCACGTATATATTTCGTTGGAGATCGGAGGATGTCGGAATCGACGCTTTAGACTCTAGATGCGTTTTAACGACGGCGTTGAGTATGAAGGGTGAGGAAACAGCTCCGAAAAGTACCGATTTGAAGCGATACACGTTGAATTGGCTTTCTGGGTCGGACGGGTCGGACAACCACAGAAATTTGGTGAAGTCGCGGTCCTTTTCGTCGAGTCGCACGTTGAGGAAAGCCTTTTCTATATCGCCTGTTAAGGCAACGCGGTGGAGGCGGAATCTAAGCAATATGGCTGTAAGATCATTCAATAAAGACGGACCAGTTTGTAAGCAGTCATTTAAGCT